AAACACAGATAGACATTCTTCTGGTATTCCCTGCTTTCAGCTTCTGGTATTCTCTGACATCAGCTACAATATCCGTAGTACCACGACCCCTTCTAAACCCAGCCTGGACTTCTGGCAGTTCTCTGTTGATGTACTGTTCCAGTTGTTTTTGGATAATCTTCAGTAGAATCTTGCTTGCATGTGAATTGGAGTGGTAAAAACAGACGTTCTTATATACTGGTATATAGGAGACATAGAGGGAGCCTGGTGGCCTAGTGCCTGCAATGCCTTTCCTAGCCATTAATTAACTTTTATTTTTAATTAAGCATTTATTTTACTAAAGAGATAGCACTGGAGTGGGATACAATCCACACTAGTAGACTAGAAGCTTAAATAAGGTCCTGGGAGCTCAATCTTCACACTCTTTTTGGACAATAGATTCCCTTGGACACAGCATTCAGCTGCATTGAAACAGCCTACACAATCCAGACTCATCGCTACCCGGTCTCTACAACAGCAGCTCTCATCCATCACAATCATGTGAGCCATTTCTCTGGCAGGTATTAGTTTCTGTCTGACCTTCCAGCAAACCATTGAACTCAAGGGACCTAGAGGAGTTAGGGAACAGGACAGAGGAGGAACAGTTGGTGTCAGAAATCATAGAGTGTTACAGCAAACCAAGCACTTGGGACATTGCTGACCTCCACCTTTTAGAAGCTAGAGTGCTACTAATCTTAGTAGAACAGGTTATAAATGCAGTGTGTGAGGAGTTGCACTGACGACCCAAAGACAGTTTAGTGTACCAGCTGCTCCTCAGAAGAAATAAGAACAATCTCATCCCAATTGATCTACAGCCTCTGAAAACCCATTGAAGGGTCAACTATGAGATGATTCCAGCTTGAGGATATATTACAACAATAACATAGGAAGCTCTGACGAACTAGTGGTAAAAAGTTGTGCTGTAATCCCAAAGGCACACGGTTCACATCCACCAACTACTCCCCAGGAGAAGGATGGGCATTCTCCTCCCATGTGATTTACTGCCTCTGAAAACCCACAAGAGGGTTTGGCTAGGGGTTGGTTCCGACTTAAAGATACACAACAATAACCAGCCTGTCTCCCTGACATGGAGACTATGGGGACCTATATTTGGAAGGGTCAGAGCTGTGAAGTGTGGGAACATATTCTACAGTTGCTTCTCTCATCCAGGTGTTGACAGTAGTTGTGCCAATTGCCTCAGTGTTGTCGATGTTCCAGTGGTAACTGGAACCATCCAAATATCATGGCTTGAGGGGACTAAGTTTTAGCTGTAGAACTCTGCTGGACTAGTGGATAATAAGTTGTGCTGCTGACTCAAAGGCAGTTGGTTCATCAGGAGACTAGTTGCCCATCAGGAAAAAGCTGGGCACTCTCCTCGCATGCAGTTCACAGCCTCTGAAAACTCCATGGAGGGTCAGCTGTAAATTGGTTCCAACTCAACATTATTGAGTTATCTATAGATTACTGGAATGGACAGGCAAACATCAACAACTGGGCTTTAGTTTGAAAATAAATTGTCATTAATCATTCTTCTATGTTATTGTTGCTGTTATGTTCCAACAAATTGCTTGTGAGATGGACTTT